CTAGACAATATTTAGCCTTCTTTCACTGTTGCCTGAATGGAAACTTGAGTAGGCAATAGTAGTTTTTAAAAGTCCCAGGAAAACAATTAAATTTCACAGAGAAAAAAATTAATTACTTTTTAAATGAAATGGAATTTTATCCTCAGGGAGGTACACCACAAATCTTCCATTCCTCTGATAAAATCAAACTTTCATTTGTGATTTTTCTGCAGAGCTCCCCAAGCCACAGCACAGAGCAAGAGCCACACAGAAGACAAAAAAAAAGTCCTCCTGACCTTTTAATTGTGAAGTATACTTTCATAGAAAGAGGTTATATTCTTTGGTACAAAGAGTGATATAAAGTTCATAGTCATCACCGTTACCGGTTACTCTTTAAATTAAACTATGCTGTCATTTTCATCTGAGTAGTGGCTACAAATGCAACTAATTAGATTCAGTTCTTAAAAATCCCCATTTTAGTTACAGTCATGTGAAGGGGGTATTGGTAAGGTAGGTCTGTAGGGAGAGACACTTGGGTTTTGTTTTACCAAACACAGATGGAAAAACCCAGACAGGTCACAAAACATATTGTCCCTCCTTCAGACCTCAAAGGTTTGTCTTTAGTTTCAACAAGCACCCTTTTCCCAGTAATAGCAATTAGACCAATGCAAATATGATCTTTCCTTAAGTAACTTTTCTTATTTATCTCCTTAGACCATCATGGCTAAATCACATTATCACAACATGAACTCTAGCAGATACACCAACAAAATCATGTGATCATGTTTGATTTTGCAACCACTAAGTAGATACTTGGAAGAGAATCCCTCTGTCCACTTAACACTGCTTAGTGAGGTCTTAAAGCTAGTTTGAGTAAATTTAAAATTTCTTCCTGCAGAATTTTGTTTCAGAGAGCCTTTGCTATTTGCATGTGCAAATTTTTCAATGCTCATAAAATGTACTTCTTTTCTAGTGTGAGCAAAACAGCTTTAAATTGTTTCCTAAAGCTTTCATTTTTTCAAGAAGTAATATTTAGAAGTCAGTACAAAAACCACTGGAAGACAGGAGCGTAGTCCATGCCTGTATAAGGCAAGGAAGTGGAGAGTAAAAGTATTCCAAGCATATTAAAGATAAATAAAATTTGAAACAAATCACCACATTGTTTGGATGGCCTCAAAATTCTATGACTTTTAGGAAGGATTCTTTAATGTGTTTCAGTTTTCCCTTCATTGATAAGAAATGGGAAAAAAAGCAGAGACCTATCATTGATAAGAAATGGAAAAAAAAGCAGTGACCTACCCACATGTCTCAAAGTAGCCTAAATGGTGCTGTAAATGACATTCTTACATATCTGCTCCTGTAGCACTCTAAAGTTCATCAAAGGTGATTTGCAGTCTAGAAAATATTCATAGAGGTATTTTCTAACAAGAGAATTCTATCAGGTTAAGACCAAACACCTTCTGAAGTTGCATTAACTTCATCAGAGTTTTATTTGAAAGCAGAAAGGGAGAGAAATTTCATTTTTCAGTATCCTTAAAAGGAAATAGTTCTAGTTTTCATCACAGAGATGAAACACATGAATGATACTCTATCACAATACCTTTCATGTATAACAGAGAAGGAGTGAGTAATTTGGATGTTTAATTTTTTTCAAAATGAAACATTTCAATTGAGAGTAAAAGATTTATTTTGTTTACACTAAAAATGTTGACATTTTCAAGCTCTGTTTGTAATCCACATGAAGACAAATGTCAAAATTGCCCAATGTCCTGTGAAATGGAACTTCTGCCCTCTTTCTCCTTTGCTTGAAGCAATGAGATATTAAGTGTGAGAGGATGAATTAGTTTTCATGTCCGTTCAGTCCTAGCTATCTACATTCAAGAAAATTTTCAGTTACTTCCAGTCATGATGACAACTTATGATTAGTTCCAGCTGCAGTGTTGACATCTGTCTACTGCAAACTGAAGAGACTGTCAGTTCACCCATTAGCAGCAATTCAACTGGGTTTGAGTTTAACATGGCAACTTTAAACCAAAATGAGTGTTTCAAAACCAGCTACAAAAGCTCATACACTCCATTCTCCTTAAGATGCTATTACAATGAAGGATTGTCCTTGATATTTTGGAATGAAGCTTGGTTCTTTCCTGAAATGAGGCAGTTTCAAATAGTTTCTTTCCTTTATTTCTTTTCAAATGGAAAATGTCTGCTGTGAACTCTCATTAGCTTTCAATATTTTTACCCTATATTGAGCTATTACAGAATTTGAAAATAGGAATACAAACTACTTACTTTGGATTCACTTGAATTTTTCTTGACTTTCACACCTTTTAAAAATAACTTTGGACTTAAGATATTTTTGGCAAGGCTTCTGAGGACCCTTATGCCAGAAAAGGAAACAAAATTCCTGATCTGGTGAAGAGCAGATGGATTATAAAAGGTACCTGGCATGGAATAGATGTGAAAATGAAGAGCAGAGAATGGATCTCTGGTTGCAGTCTTTCAGGAAAGTATTCCATTCACCGTGAGGATTACCAGAAAAAGGGTCCTCCATTACTTACACATGCTGTAAATATTAATGTTTTCAGGAAACCAGGCATGAGTTTTGCCTGTAGAAGTGCGTGTATGACTTCATACTACTGCACAATGAAGTTTCTGCCCTCTCCCGGTTGGATAAAATTATTTCCCATTTCTTCCATGCCTTCTGGTTTAAATGGCAGCTCCAAGGCTGTGCTCACAACACAGTCCCTGATCCCTCACATCTCCTTCATGCTGGCTAATGCCTGGATCAGGGCAGAAATGAGTCTGTTACACAAAGACACTCAGGAGTAGGGAAAGGAACCCAAATACCACTAAGAAAGTGGAGGACACCTCAGGACCAAGCCATGCAGTGCTGTAAATGGGAGCCCATGCTCTCATGAGACCTGTGGGAACACTACAGACAGAGACTGTTATAGGTAGAACCTCTATTCTCTTTCTTTTCTTTGGAAAAGTGCTGAGATAACACCCTATGAGCTAAACTTCCTTTCACAAAAACAAGCACAGCACTATATCCCTGACAGATGATTTAAAGAAAACCTATCAGCCTACACAAAAGTGGTAATGCAGTGTTCACTTTGAAGAACTGTTACTACATATCCCTACAGAAATTCATCATTCTCTTGGATTTTTCTAGAAGAAATAATTTATTTTTCGTAGAGTTTAATTAGAGTTTAATAGAGTTACTTGGCTAAAAATCTGTAAAAACATTCAAGAATGCCCTCTGTTCTTTATTTTCTAGACAGTGCCTTGCTTTGGCTCTGTCTTTGCCAACATGCCATGCTGTTTGTTTGCCTAACAAACACCAGAAACTATGCAAATACAAGCCCCTTTCAGAACTGGGTTCCTTTTTTTTTTTCTCTTTCTTTTTTTTTTTAAACAAAGCATAGAAATTCATGACTTGGATATGAGATGGAGTGAAATGATGAGCTGTTTTTGCTTGATGGGTGTCACCGGAGCATCATGCACTGTGCTAATTTCTCAGCTTGTGAATAGACATATTTAGACTGACAGTTGAAAGTGGGCTGCAGATTCCACTTAAAACGTGTTTTTCATGCTGAGTAATGAGGGCAAAACACAAACCAATTCTGGCAGTTAAACTACGCACTTAAACCTTTCATAGTGTTGTCAAACACTATAATCCTTCAAAAATCTGAGTTTGAATGCCCTTAATATTTTATTTAATGAATTTTAAATCCTATAATTACCATAATTAAGACACTCCTTTTGGATCATGTCAGTGTGCTGCTCAAAGAGGGAGAAAGCTGTAGGCGATTTTCACTAAAGATTTTCCTGAATGCAAATGATACATACAGCTCATTTTGAATTCTTTATGATGTCATTTGGGGAAGCATTTTTTTAGAATGCACCTGGCAACATTGGTGTGAAAGTCTGTAATACCCTCCAAGGAAAGACCTAGATGGAAAGGGCCTCATTGTTTCCGTACCTGACTCCTCCTGTGCTGGCCATGCACCTAAGATGGACATTTCTGCTCTTCATTTGGTAAAACAGGATATCTGGAAAGAACTAAAAGGTTTTTGAATGTGTGAGTCCTTGAGGACTGAAAATGAATGCTAGACTGAGGTATGCATTGACCACTGAGAAACAAGATGAAGCTTATTATTCTCTAACACCATCCTCCTTGTCAAAGGGAAAGTCTTCCTTCCAGCATTTCTTTATCTTGGTCTCCTGGGTCAGAGATTCTTGAGGGCTGGTCTTTTCAGTGAAGACTACTGCAAAGAAGGTGTTCAGTAATTGCACTCTCTGCATCCTCTGATTCCAGGGAACCCTCTACATTTAATGATGGGCCCACATTATTCCTATCTTTCATTTTGTTGTTGATGTATTTGGAGAAATCACTCTTGCTATCCTTGACATCCTTGGACAGATTTAATTCCAGATGGGCCTTGGCCTTCCTTGACTCATTTCTACTTACTCTAACAACCCCCCTATATTCATTCCAAGGGGCCTCACCCTGCTTTCGTCTCCTATGTATTTCCTGATTACACAAAAGTAATGACAGGAGTTTGTTATTCATCCACACAAGTTTCTTATCCCCTTTGCCCAATTTTCTTGCTTATTGGGATGCATCATTCTTGAGCCTGAAGAAAGTGATCCTTGAGTATCAACCAACTCTCTTGGACACCTCTTCCCTGTAGGACCTGTTCCCATGGGATTCTTCCAAGAAGATTCCTGAAAAGGCTAAAGTTAGTTCTCCTGAAGTCCATGGTTGTAATCTTACTCGCTGCCCTGCTTCCCCCTTGCCCAATAACAAACTCCACAAATTCATGGCCATTACAGGCAAGGCCGTCCCCAGCCTTCAAGTCTCCAACAAGGCCTTCCCTGCTTGTTAGTATGAGGTCAAGCAGCACACCAGTCCTAGTGAGATCCTCCATTACCTATGACAGGAAGTTATCGTCAATGTTTTCCAGAAGCCTCCTGGACTGTTTGTCCAGAAGCTTCTTCAGCAGATGTCATAGAAGCTATAAGTCCCCTACAAGAACCAGGGCCTATTACTTTGGGACAGCTTCTAGTTGCCTGGAGAAGGTCTCATCTAATTCCTCCTCCTGATCAGGTGGCCTGAGGTGAACCTCCACAACAATGTCACCCTTGCTAGTCTGCCCTTTTATCCTGACCCATAAGCTCTTGACTTGCTCATCATCCACCCCAACAGAAAGCTCGATACATTCAAAGTGCTGCCTCACATGGAAGGCAGCTCCGCCCCACACCTTCCTGGCCTGTCTCTCCTAAACAGTGTGTAGCCCCTCATGACAACATTCCAGTCATACGAGCTATCCCACCATGTCTCCCTAATCAAATGAGATCAAAGCCATGTGACTGCACACGGGTCTCTACTTTCTCCTGTTTGGGCCTATAAACCAACACAATGCTTGTGTTGGTGTATAGGCACTTTATAGACGTATTTGATTGTGTCAGTATCCCAGCAGGAGCACAGAGGGATGCCCCATAGTCCTGTCTTGTGATTATGTCTTTGTCTGCTTGTGCTTGATCAAGGTATTCCCTCTTAAGCCTCATTTTCCTATTAGTGTGGACACTACAGTTCCCCCCTTCCCACATCTTATCCCTGTCAAGCCTCACTATGTCCCCATTCCTCTTCAAATCTAGTTTAAAGTTCTTTCCATGAGCCCTGCTAACTCCTCCTTTGAGACAGGAGGACCCTATTTGTTGCCATATGGCTCGCTGTCATATAAGCCAACCCATGATCAAAAAACCCAAAATTCTGCTGGTAACACCAGTTTTGAAGCCAGGTGTTCATCTGCATGATTTTCCTGTTTCTTGCCCCCCTCATTCCCTGTGACTGCAAGGACATAAGAGAACATATCTTGTGCTTCAGATCCCTCAATCAGTTGTCCCAAGGCCCTGAGGTCCCTCTTGATTGTCCCTCATCGGGACTTCCTTGTTGCCTACCTGGAAAACCATGATAATGATCAGTAGGCCGTACCAGGCTGGGAAGTTTCTTGATGATGTCTCTTACCTGGGCCCCAGGGAGGAACACAGCTCCTTATGGATGTGGTCTGGTCAGCATATGAGGCCATTCATTCCTCTCAAAAGGCAGTAACCAATGACTGATACCCTTTTTTTATTTAGTTGAGGAGGTCATGATACACGGATAGGCAGCCCTACCCTAAGCAACCTCTCCATCCCAGAAGAACCTCCCTCCACATTCTCATTTCTCATGTCCTCATTTCCTTGGTCCTCAAATTCCAGGGCCTCATGCCTACTATACAAAGGTACCTGGGGAGATAGGGGAAGCTGGGAGGGTTCTGCTCACCTGCCACTCTGAGCAGAATGCCCCTGAGTCTCTCAGGTCCCCTTCTTCTGCCTGGTGGTGAGATACAAGGAGATTCATGGCTCCTTGTGAAGTGGGTGGTGGGCGCATTTGTCTAAGGTGTGATAGAATGGGGCTCCTCCAGTCGATAACTTCCTCAGAGTCCCTAATACTTCTTAGCCTTTCTACTTCATCTCTCAGCTCCATCACTAGGCTGAGCAGATTGTTGACCTGAGCATGCCTCACACAGCTCATTTTCCTGCTGCCATCTGAGAGCATCTCCAGGCTCTGAGGCTCTGACACTGCCTTCAGCCAGAGACCTGGACCCGTGAGTGCCTTCATGGGCACTCCCTGCAGGTGGCCACATCCTTTCTGGTGTGTGCAGAGGAAGCAACTTTTTTGTCCAAGTGGACACCATAACTGTGCTTTCATGATGAGGGCAATGACCACCAACTACGTGGGGGACTTTAAGTGAAAGGGGTACTTCAAGGCTGACTGAGGTGGCCTGTGCAATGTGATCTTCGTAGGGGCAGGTATGACCATATCAATGGGTGGAAAATTAGGGTTACTTGTGGCTCTGTGGCTATGAGCGCTTTGTATTTAGCCATTTGAAAGGTTTCACAGCAAACAAATCAATATCTCTGAGAGAGAATCCTACTTCACACCCAGATCTGAAATTCCCAGCCCTGTCAAAGGCATCTCCAAGGACAGTACATGCCGCATGATGCTCATTTGTTCTAACAGCTGTAACCAGCTACACCACTCATGTAAATTAATACCAATCAAAGTACAATAATTATTGGCTGGTTTTATTTAAATAGCTAAAAGGCATGAAACAAGAATTTTGTACAGGAAAAAAGTATTTTTCTTTACAAGACATATAGTATGTTTATATATTAAGAAGAACGTTACAGTCAAAATTAGTCGTTGAAGGCAGCAGAAAAAAAGTTCTTTAGCAATATGTGTTATTGAAACTTTAGCTAGTATTCCTGCAGCACTTTGAAGTACCACAGGTGAGATGAGTTGGGATTTCAGCCCATCCTCCAGCTGATGGTTTCCTAATTAAACATAACACTATTTAATACTTTTTTCCTGCAGCGAAGATTTTCAGTGAAGCCTAGATGTGAAAGTGGTCAAACCCCATGAAAGTCTTCAGGACTTTGGTGCCCATCTAAGCCCTAAAGTATACTTAAATCTTTGTGCCCTACATATTTATTCTCAGCCCCTACCTGTTGAACTTAACATTTTTATTTTTAGTTTAGAATGGTAAACAATATAGAAATAAAAAATGTTAAGAAGTGGGTACTTAATTCTTGTTGATAAATATCCTTTTTATCAAAGGATAACAGTAACATGAAACATTTTTTAAAGGCATTCAAGAAAATTAAGGTACAGATACCTAGCAAGTAGAATAGAGATAGCTGTTAAGGCAAGATAGATGTCTCAGGCCTGTAGAGGAGTTTGTTAAGATTCTTTTAAGATTCAAAGATTTTGGTCATCTTGAACAGTCAGCCTTCAACAATCTGGCAGTTGGACTGAGACATCCAGACCTACATTCTTGAGTTGAGTTTTAAATCTAACTGAAAATTTTATGTCTTCATACAAGATAATTTAAAACTCAGGACCAAAAGGAGATAAATTTTCATAGAAACCTAGAATGGTTTGGGTTGGAAGAGACCTTAAAGATCATGTAGTTCCAACCCCCTGCCAAGAGCAGGGACACCTTCTACTTGACCAGGTTGCTCACAGCCCCATCCAGCCTGGCTTTGAACACTTCCAGTCTTGAGGCATCCACAGCTCAACTCTGGGCAACCTGTTTCAGTGTCTCACCACGCTCATCACCCAGTTTCAGTTACCAGTTTGGCTCCTTTTCTATATGAAACCAAATTCAATCAATGGAAAAGAAAATCAAGGTTATCACTGATGAAAACCAGCAGTCTTACTGACTTAAATGAAGTTAAGCTGAGTCTCAACACAATGAGCCTCTGACCTGAAAAGGATGAAAGATGTTTTCATTTATCCCAAAGTAGGACTTTAAAAACATTGAGTCATTTCATTCACCTTTGTTTTCATCCAGAAAATTTATCTTTTGTCTGTGATTAAAATCCTATACTTCAGGGTATGTTTCCTACAATATATCCTATTTCTCAGGTGCTGGAGGCATGCCCTGGAGAATATTATTCCTTACTTAGTGTGTGTCAGACCACATTTGACACAGTCCATTACACCGTCACAAGATTTATCCTTCTGATAAAAAAGCAAAATCTTTAGCTGGGCAAACTGAGTTTGATAGCTGTTCAGAAAGAAAAATATCTGTTTTTTAAAACACAGCTAGTATTCACAAGCCCAGAGGTTGTGTTTGTGGTGCCTGCATCAGCATTAAGTTATCATTTAAAAGCCCAAAGAAAGGAAAATGATTGTATTAGCTCTATCTTCAGGCCAGTTATAGAGGTACTGATTACTTGCCATATCTTCTACAGACAACAAGAACTTCACCCTGCAAATCACACACTCTAATTTAAGAGGGATCTGTCTCTCTGGTTAAGAGATTACACTGTTGAAAGCAAGTCACTGTTAGAAAAAGTATTTAATCTTAAGCAACATACCCAAAAGAATTTGGAGACATAGCTTTAGGTTCCCAACTATAAATAAAATAACATAAATATCAATATCATCATCATGGCCAGGCGTCGCGAAGGAAGATTTGGGAAGGACTCTACCCACGTTTGTTGCAAGCACGTTGCAATCATAAATATCAATAACATTATGAATATCAACCAATAGAAGAGTTAGAAAGTTGATATTAAGAATAACCATTGAAATAGGATGTTTCACAAACAAAGTGCTTTAAATTTCACTGAAAATGGAAGTTACTATCTTTCTAAATTATCTCCTAAATTTATTATCTTTCTAAATTTAAATGCAGGTCTACTGCCATAAACAGGTAAAATAGTACCATTGCACCAGCACTCATAGCAGAGGTCAAAGTCAATGAAAGGACATTTTTTGGACCTTGTATTGCACACCACTTGATTTCCTACAATTGTTTGCACTTGGTTCCCTGATTTGCAATTACTTACCCAATTATTTGCATTTGATTAAAAACTGAGCATTTCTGGACAGATCTCCACTTCAATACTCAGAGCTACGGATTCCATTTTTGCCAGAGTCATTGCTTTCTGTGATCAGTTTACATCATGTTTTTTTTCTTTACTGTTATAGAGAATTTCTTAGTTCTTCCAGTTTCTCTCCTAGTCTTGTTACTAAGAAAATCTGTTAGCAAGCAACAATATCAATTTATGTCCTTTCTTAGAAGTTACAGACAGATCACTTTTAAATTTTGGTTTTAACAGTACCTTGTAAGCCTTTCATGGTAACATAATTTTTTCAGCTCTAGAATTATTTTTATGTTCCTATTTTTTAAAAAGAAACATGCCCAATTTTTTCAGTATCTCCTTTAAACTGAAGATCCTGAAGCAAGATGTGGTATTCCATCAGAACTAATCACACTGGAATCACACAGGGAAGCCATCTTCCAGCCCCTGCTCACCATCTTTGGATCTTACCTCTTGATTAGGACTAACTTTGTCCTCTAATCTCAATAGCTGTGCCTTTCCAGGACACAATCTCATTCCAGTTCTTTTGAATTTTTAAAGGTTTTTTATATTAATTGTTTTGCCAAGTGATGCAGTCCAAATTACCAGGCTACATTTCTCTGTCCCAATTAATTTATCTTCCACTTTTTCAATCCTTGAATGATCCACAGAACTTTTCAACAATCATTCTATGTCTATATTTACCCTGACAAAATGTTAAACCACGTGAAAATTTCTTCCAGATTTAGAGAGTTGGTCTAATTGTTTCTTGTTTTCAATTGGCAATTATTTTTTTTGACCTGTTAGTTCACAGACCATTTAGTTCATACTTTATAATTTCTATAGACTATTGGTCTTTAATGAGACCATCAAATACTTTTAAAAATCAGAGTATGCCCATCTTAACAGAGGTTGATCCCACATATATAAACTTGACAAAATGGTGCATCTCTCAGGACCAATTTCCACAAAAGTGTTGACTAGCATTGATTATAACTCTTTCCTTTATTCATTAATTGATTGCATTTTTTATCAGTATTTTTACTGTTTTCCCTGAGACTAATGCTGGGCTAAATACCCAACAGTGATCAAGATTCTCCACTTAATTTGTTTTTGGTTAGGGGAAATGCCTGGGAAATAACAAGATGTCACTAGCTTATGAAAAAGTGGAGTAAGTCTGTGGGTTCGGGTTATAAAATGAAGTAGAAGTAGGACATGGAGAGGAAATTTCCAGTAAGGTTTGCCCATGAAAATTACTTGTTTTGGTTGTTATACTCTATTTTTTCTGTTTTAACATACCTAGCATCTTGATTACCAGCTTTGCACAGTTTCATTTGTCTAAACGCTCAAGGAAATCACAGCAAAAGCTTATTCTATGTAGATCATAATAACAGTATACTTTACCCTTAACTAACTCAGCTTTATGAGGAAGAGGGACAATCCAAATTAGACTACAGTAGTGATGAATATTTAATATTGGTTTGGGATCCTCTGAGCTTAGCTTTTTGAAATGCCTCTGATCCCTCTGTGGTACACATCACTCTGGGTGTGCAGCTGAGCAGAAGTGCATGGGGCCTGTATAGATTACGATATGGATGGTTTATCACTGTCTGTATAGAGGCTTGGTTTGCCTCCTTCAGGTAAAGGAGACCCCCTTCAGGACCCCCCAAATATGTGCAAATTAATAAATCATACCTGTTGCCGGCCTTTTGTCCCAGCCCTCCGGTTACCAGGTTTTTCAAATGTAATAATGAAAACAAGTAATTCTTTCAACATCAGGTACTTAAGGCAGCCTTGTGGCAGCTCGCAGGGAAGGTGAGCATTAGAAACAGCTGATTCCCATTCAAAGGGTGATGCTGCCTTTCTATTGCCCTTGCACATAGGTGACTTCCAGGATTCACGTGATCACTGCTATGTAGTTCCCCTGCAATGAAACCTGATGGATTGTACTAGCAAAGTCAGGCAGTAGGTGTTCATGATTCCATCTCCCTCCTCACTGACCTCCCTGACCTCCTCATTGTATTTTTTCATAATTTTCTCCCTTCTGCCTCTGTAGTTCTTTCTACCAGCCCAAATCAGCACCCATCAACTCTCTGGGACGCTGTCTCGGCCAGCAAACATTTGCTTCGTTCTGAGGATTTTTCTGTATTGTGCCTAATACCTTAGCAAAAGGGAGAAGCTGTCCTTTTTAAAAGTAGAATTGAAGCACTGGTCAAACACAGTACTTAGGCACAAGCCAAACTATAAGCAAATCAATAGGACTTCTCATTTGTTCACATGATTACAATTAAGCATATCCCTTAATGCTTCCCTGGATGGAAGCCAAAAGGCAGCAGTAAATTGAGTTGAGATCCCAGAAATTACCTTCCTTTTACTGAGACAAATTCACCCTTTGTATTAGCAGATGACATTCTCTAGTCCAGAGAAAGACACATAATCAAGCCACTTAAAATGGAGAATCTTTTATTTCCATTTCTGCAAGTATGGTCCTTTACCCTGCAATTAAAAAAAGAAATGGAAAAGAGAAATCCAAAAGAAGCAATGGCTTGGCACCTTTGCTGCAAAAAATTCCTTACTGCTGAACAAGGCGGCTGAGCTCTCAGGTTACATCACGTCAAACAAAGGCTCTTTAAAGAAAGATCTCAACTGCATAAAGATCTTAACAATTAGAACAGAAAAGGAGAGACAACAGATTGTGAGCAAAAAAAATGGGAAACAAATTGAGCTCTGATTAAAAGTCAAAATAAGAATTAATAAGGTTGTGATACAGTCCTAAGAAACAGCAATTCTACTTCCTTCTTTGCTGTAGTTTTGGTAAACTTTATAGATATGCTGCCTCAGATTTCCAGCAGAAAGAAAGGAGTGACTAGGCAGTGGTGCTTGGTCATCCTATGCAGTGACAAACCTCTGCTTGGGTGCTGCAGATCTCAGGCTCTAGTTTTGCCATGGTAATGCCACCCCTTTCCAACCCAGGCTGCCTTCATTGAGGTGACACAGCAGGATGGCTGTTGACAGGGATTTCCATCCCCCCAGGCCTGAGCTAGACTTATAAAATACCTTTCCAGTAGGGACTTTTCTTCTTTAAGCAGAAAAAGAACATGTTCCTGGCAGAACTGAGTTGTTCTGTATTTGTAATTAGAGAAAATCAGATAAAGAAGGTGGCCTGGAGACAGATCTGAAAGTGATGCAGTATGTAAGTCTTTGATACCAAGGGCAATGTCAGCTTGGGTCAGTCAAGAGAAGTCCTATGAGGAAAAGCCATAACCTTCAGCCAAAAATCATCTTATTATATAATTTAAGATTTTATTTCTTTTTTTTTCCCAGGATTGGAGTCTAGACAAAGGACACTACATTCCACCCTTAAAAGTCTCAGAAATTGCTTCAATTTTCTTACTCTCTTCACAGCTGAGATATTTTTCTTAGGGATATCTCTTCAAATTGCCTACAAATTTTATCTCATAAACAACATGTTTAATGCACTCATCCTCTCACTAAATTTACTGCTTTTCCTCTACATGGAGATGATTTGCATTTTTTTTCTCAAAACCATTTTTCAGGCTTCAATTCCTTTTTTCCTTTAAAGCAAATTTCTAGTTCTCTGTGATATTGATGTTTCCTTCCTGAAATATTTTTCTGTTCTTGCTATTATGTTCTTTTACTACAGCTTGCACTCTTTATCATTTCAGTTTCTCCCTTCTCAGCAACCTTTTTGCTACTCCTCACATATCTCTAGTTGCCTTATCAAAATATTGACAAAATGTTTTCCAAGAACCTGGCAGGCATTCAGTGCATCCTGACACATTACTCTCCTGCCAGACACCTACGCAGTTGAAATCCTTTCTTCCTACCTTCTTCCTATTTTGAATGATTCTGATAGATATTTTCTAAAGAGGTCCATCCTCCTGAACTTCTTTGGTATCTTATTATAAATCCTAACAAACAGAGGTCACACCTACCTACCCTCTCTCTTTATCCTTCCCTATGCAAACTGGCCCCAAGTGCATGTGTGCATATATGTTGACAGAAAGGGATGTACAAGGCAATACCTTCTATCCATATTTCCCTGCCAAATATCTCAAGACAAGATCAATCACTCTACGTGAGTATTCCACAGATACGGATTGTCTCAGTACATCTGTTATTCCGATATTGCAGGACTTCATGTTTGAATACCTTGATTTTTTGACATCATAAAAGTTTTATGTGCTCTTAAGCTCATTTTTCAGAGATTGTGAAATAACATGTAGGGAGATGTTCAAGAAAGGAATTTATTTTGAGCTTTTTTTCATATGCCACTGGGTAGAAATAATTTGTATTCTAGAATTTAATTATTTTTTTTCCTATTAAGTAAAAATTACTTTTCTGTGCATTTATGGAAAAAAGCACAGGATACATTCATGTGGTTACACACTTTCTAAGAGTGTGGGCTATGCATTTTGCCTGTGAACACTTGAATGTCTCTCCAGGGCTAGCAAGCAAATCCATGTATTTCAGTATATTACATGCGTAATAGCTGACAGCAGTATCTGACCAGAGGCGTTCAAAAACTGGAGACTCTCACTCACTGATTTTTCTACTATCTCCCACAGATGCCAAATGATGGGCAAGACCCTCAGCTGGACTAAGCACATGAGCCTCAGGTTCAGCATTTTACAGTATGACAGAAACACTTTAAGTCAGATAAGCCCTCTAAACAAAACCTTTTCCTTTTGTCCTTTTTCTTTTTTTTTCGTACAGCAGCCCATGTCACATGAACAAATACTTTATATGACGGAGTCCTCCATGGTTCAAATAAGAATAGACTCCGATTTGACTAAATCAATAAGAATGTTTTCAGCCCCATATTCCAATTCTGTAAATAATTTTTATGCAACTTATTTTATTTTGCAGGATAATAACACTAAACCCTTTAAAGAAAGGTGCATTTTATAACCAAATCTGAAAGAAACAATCGAAAACAGACTGAAATTTGAGCTCAGGACTACAGGTGATGATAGCAATCAGTTATGGAACTGGAGATTATCATAGAATCATTAAAAAAGGAGTTAGAATGCAAAACTTCTCTTCTGACTAGAGTACTAAGAGCATCTCTTGTCAGTTCCCCTAAAGAATGAGGAAAGATTTTCTATTTAGCAAAAGAAGAGCTAAAGAGTAACAAGCTGGCAGGGCAGGACAGAGAATGTGCCCAGACAGAATTTGGGAGAGGAGCCTGGTAAGTTTGTTCCAGAGTCAGAGTGGTTCCTGGGCCATTCCACCCTGACAACAAGTGTGGTGACCAGCACCCAGTACAGCTTGACCCAACTGAAATAACCTCCTGGCAAAAAAAGCAGACCCAGAGGCAAGGTGAGCCCAACCCATCCAATCTGTAACTACAGAGAACATTAAGTCTGCATCCCCAGGCAAAGCCCTGAGGTGCTCCCACAGTGCCACACTGTTTCCCTGACCACAGCACCAAACCTAACCTGTTCACTCCCTTAGATGATTACTCAGAAAAAAAGAAGAAAAAAAAAAAAGAAAAGAAAACCAATGGCTGTCTGGAGTATCTTCTCCCCTTGTAGGTCTTTGTCCCTATACACCTTTCTGTTGTCAGGACAGGTTTAGATTGGATATTAGAAAGAGATTCTTCACCCAGGAGGTGGTAGGATGCTGCAACAGGGTCCCCAGGGAAGTGGTTACAGCACCAAGCCTGACAGAGTTCAAGAAGAATTCGGATGATACTCTCAGGCACATGCTGTGACTCTTGGGGATGGTCCTGTGCAGGGCTCGATGATCCTTGTGAGTCCCTTCCAAGGCAGCATATTCTGTGATTCTATAATTTGTTCATTCTGCTGCACTGGATGATCCTTTTTCTCTGCATCAGCAGTTGCTGCAGGGCTGAGACCTGCCCAGGTTCACCCCTCATCTGAGTGCTCAGTATGGGACCTCCTGGTACCACCCTGTGCAAACTGGAAATTTTAATCTTCAAATGCATTCAGATTCTTCAGATACATTTAGAATTAATTATTTAAGTTAAGTAAGCTGAAAGAAAATAGTTTAGAGATGTCTGGTTTGAATTTGCAGCAGAGAAACTCGGGGCTGTTAGACACAGCTGGTATCCGTGTACAGTGAATCATCAGAAGGGCTGGAGAAAATGTGTTTCTGCATACAGACTGATGACGTTAAAGTAAAAATTAACAAGAGTGCCTACATGGTTAGAAGTACTATTCAGGTTTTGGGTGAGCTATGTGTTTTTAAACTGACAAGCTCAAAAGGATCATTTTTCCATCTGGATCTCTAAAAATCTAAAAATACAATACAAATGCTTTTGTGGTTAGACTATCATCATTGTAACCATAAGGAAGGACTTTCAGATACATAATACATTCAAAAAGCACTTGAATTTTCTTGTTCCATTCCATCATATCCTGCCTAAGTAAATGTGATGGCAGTATTTTAATCTTGGAAGGTACATGTAGAAGACAAAATCCTTCATAAAAAATCATTTAAATTCCAAACCAACATAGAATTGAACAATAGAGCTAAGCATGTGCTTCATTGGTAGATCAAGTTTCTAGTGAAGAATGGTTGTTTATATTATTTCATCATAAATGCCAGTTTCTGTTGGTAACAAATAAATACCCCCTGAAAAGCTTCCAAACTGCACTTGGATAGCAGAGTAGTTTCACACATGCACCCAACTCATACTTTAGCAAATTTACAAAGACACATTCATGTTTTCACTTGACAGTGAATAATATTTAAATACCTTGTCAAGATACCTTTCTACAAAAATCCTTATTTACTAGTCAAACCTGCAGGTAAAAACTTTGTTCAAGTGGTTGGTCTGGCAACATAATTTGGCACTCTATATCTATTAACTTCTGTTTCTGCTTTTGCACAAACAAGATTTGCCACAGATCACTGGTTCAAACAAGGAGTCTAAATGAAGTATCTCAAATTAAGTTTGAATTGATTTACATCAAGAACCAATGAACCGGCAAATTTTCTTGTGTGCGTTTCCGTGTGCAGAACTAAAATACTTACAGGAGATACTGTCATACTGGCAATTAAGGTCATTGGATAAGGAAGACCAATTTCCTCATTTGTTTTCCTTTCTCGTTTTGCAGGAGGAAAAGGCAGTTGACAGCCCTCTCTCTTTACTTTCTGCTAAACTCATCCAGGTTAAAAACATTCAAACTTACAAAATCTCCAGATAAAATAGCTGCGTGAGGAATACAAAATCTATACCAAGGAAAGGACAATTTACAAACATCTACTTTCAGAACAATAAACGCACCACTACAGTGGTTTAGGGAGAAAGCATGTTTCTGCTTACTCTTCTCGATGGAGTAATCAGTCTATTTTCAGTTCTGTCAGTGAAAGGAGTGAATTCAGCAGACAAGACTATGGTGGAACATAGAACTATATAAACTGAAAATGCTTGTGTGATGCTTTGAAGCCATCTGTGTTTATTGCACATTCCACAGTCCAAATTTCCCACTAGCCTTTCAAAGAAATGTTTGAACTCTTTGCTTCATAATAAAGAAAAACAGAGGCAGGCAGTTGTTGAGGTTTTATACTGAGGAGCACATGTACTTGTATGTAAGCATGTGTGTGTTTGTATGTGTGTTTCTTACTTTGATAGAGATTACGAGCCATGTAGGAACAGAGTGCTTAATTGAAAAGATAACAAATGATGAAGCAGCTGTTAAGTATGGCACAAAAATTGCTCCGAGCAGTTAAGGCTGATCATCACGATGGAAATAGCTTTTTGACAAGCTTAGCATTCCTGTGACAATAATTAAGAATCAGGTTTCCACCAAAAGGCTTTATAGCCAGAAGGGGTTGTGAATCAATGGGCAACATTTTTATCTTGGAATGAAAATTAATTATTCAGTGTAGAACATGCTTTCTCACACTTAACTGCCTGTAATGCCTCCTTTATTCTCCATCTTAATTCAATTAATATACCATTGTTAAAAGGGCGTTTGTCAGTAGTGATTTACTTTTGTTAAAAATTACCGTAAGGAAATATGACAAAATTGAATGGTTCTTAAATTAAGTCATAGTTCAGATTTTTTTGGCAGAGAGTTCCTAACTGTTAAGTACTCTTTGACAAGGGTGTGGATATGAGCATTTTGTATTGCACCCTTTGAGCTTGCATAAGCACATAAAGGGATTGAATAATACATGAAAAAGAAGTGTAGGATTTTCTGAAGTGCTCCATGTGGCCCTAACTTCTTTCTCCTATTTAAGCTAGTCAGAAAACATATTGAATTTAATTGAAGCAGTTTCAGAACACCAAGGACTTCTGAAAATCTTATTCTTATTTAGAAGAAATATAAAAGTGTTCTTGCCCTTTTGACTATTATATGGAAATGAAGGCATCTATCAAAGCTGTCATGACACTTACTGGAAAATGATGCGACTTTGGGGAATTATTCAGACTGTTTTGACAGGCTCTACAATCTGAAAATGGGCCTGGAAATGTCCTCTTGGCAAGAAACATTAGACAACATAAGCCTCCACAAGGGCAACTTTCGCCTCACTATTGCCATTGATGTTTTCAACTTCGACAGTAACAGAGCTGAGAGAAAAGAAAAAAAAAGGGCTGAAATTGGTATTTAATTTTATTCAGTAGTCCTATATTTTTCCATTATTGCCCATGTCTTCTGTGGTCCTGAGAAGTGCATCTTGATTTTCTGTTTAATCTTTCTTTATTTAAGCTAATACTTTGTAAAACACCAGAAGTGTGAGAGTAAAAGTTCTTTGCTTGAAGGAGTCCCATGTTTTTTCCTTCAATGTAAGTTCCTTATGGCACTCTCCCTCTGAAGCAAAGAATATGATCACCTAGCACACTGAGTTTCTTACAGGGCAAGAGGTGCAAGCCTTTCAATCCCTTTTTTGTTATCTCATGAATGTTTCTGCTGAGCCAAGCACTACTAAAAGAAACGCCGGTGAGTCACAAGAGAATGTGCTCTCTACATATTAGAGAATTAATAGCTTTATAAAACCTCTTAACATTATATTAGCTGGAGCTAATGCTGAGCCTACTCACAGCATATGATGTTATGGAGGACAAGCAGAGCCCTGGATTCTTGTTCTTGCCCCAAAAATACTCCTGCCTTGCTGCATTCTAAAATGTCTCTTTCATGAGAAGATTGTTCTCTGGCCTGGCACAGGAGGGAGAAGTCCACGTTCGTTCTCATTTCTGGAAGTTTGTTGGTAAGCCCAGCACCAGCATCAGCCTCTGAGTTACTCATCTTTGTAATCAGGAGACTGTAACTGATTCATGCTTTTAAAAATCAAGAATATGCTTTTAAAACGCCATGTTCTGAGAATGCAACAGGTGAAATAAACTCTAAAATTATTTGGTTTCCCATATTTGAACTAGGAAGTAGATTCAACTACCTTAGGAAACCTAATGTCTTTCTCCTCCTTTTAAGCAGACTTACCTCATTTGCACATCAATATATATGTCCTTGACAAGCACACCTATCACTTATACTTCAAGATATGCCAAGTAATCGAAGACAAATATGTCCACAATTTGCATTTCTTCTATGAACACATTATAGGGTAGGGCCACAGTGATGTCCAAAGAATGTTCTGTGCTATATTAATTTTTTATTTGAAGAAGCTTATAGCACAATTGAAATAATAATGCCATCTATTAATCCAGGAATGTGTCTTTCTATACCACCTAAATTTTAAATTTAAAAATCCTTTTGTCCTTTCCTATCCTGTTTTCCACCTCACTGACCACCGACATTTCTTCTACATTGACTATTCTAAACAATTAGCTGAGAAGCATTCCTTGCAAATACCTCACTGGCCCAACACCTTTACTCAATTAGGGTATTGCTTCCTCTTCAATCAACATGACTTGTCTCTGTAGGACTACCCGAAAGGAAAACGCCTTCCAAGAAAAGTGAGACTGCCAGAAACAGGCCCTGAGATAATCCCCTTTTGTTCATCAGGTACTTCATCCATTTTGAGGAGACAGAAACAGGGGAGGAAGCAAGGAAAGCATGTGTGTAGATCAACACACCTTTTAAAACATTGGCAGAAATGTCAAGATTCAACTTTATGGCTAAGTTGATAAAAATCTTTAACTTCTTTGCCACTTGGTGTGCTTGTCAATACTGCAGATTAATGGCTTCTGCACTGCCTCATGGTTTTGTTCTGTGTCAGACCAGAAAATGAAAGAGGAATAAACCACCCAGAAGACATCAGATAATTTCTGGTAGGAAAAAAAGCCACAAACAAACATCTGAAATTCAAAGGAAATGCATCTATTGTTAGTCCAGGCTATTAGTGCTTGCTGCCATTTGGTCCAGTTGGAGGGAGCAGAAGACTTGCATAAATCGTATATTAGGACAATATGTTTAATACAGAGCCAGAGCAGAATGTTTCTGGCATATTTAATGGATACAATAATGTTGCATCACAAATCTGTCCTTGAGTTTTTCTTTCAAGGGAACTGCCCTGGAGTTAGTTGCAAAAAAATCAGTGGTCTGGAAATTATGTAATTTAAACATATTTACCTCGGTGTATGCCAGTATTTGCAGCTGTCAAAGTGAGCAGAGCCTTGTCCTACTGAGGCTAATTCTCCTAAATTAAAAACTGCTTCTGTTCCATGCACCCCCTCAAATGTTTAGCCTTTGCCAACCAAACGTGGAAATTTGGAGCGTTTTATAAATACTTCCAAATAAAGAGAGGCAAAAAAGTTCAGTCGAAGAGTTCTTTACCAAAAATAAGTGTTTTCATTTGACATTTTTTTCAGGAATGTAGTACAATTTTGAACAGGAAACAGTGGAAGCATTTAATTGTCTTTCACATTTACAATATATCAAAATTAATAATTTACTTAAAATATATTTTTTTTAATAACTGAAATTAAATTTATGGGCTATAAAACTTAACTGGAACATTTAAGTGTCTTCGCTCATACATCTTTAACAGGCCTTATGGCTATTCACATTTTCTTACTTTGACTGGTTTAAAATTCAAAATTTTGAAAGAAAATCACATCTGAAATTACTGTTTTCAGTGAATTAAAAGATAAGATGGTAGAGTTAAAATATAAGTTCCTACACCTCAGACTGATCCTGTAACAATACGGAAGACAGACTAATCTTGATCCAAATTATACTGAAAGTTGAAGCATTCCTGTCTGGTTTTTAATTTTATTGATAGCATTCTTTCACCAAAAGATTTTTCTTATGCCACGTTCATGCATGTGAAACTAGAGACATCATATATTAACTATAGAAAAATACTATGATATTTATATAAACCCACTGTATTTCACCTGTTCCTGTTCACCATTTACAATGAAAGCTCACCAGTAGAGGTGAACCACTGTTAGTGTTTAGTGTGTCACCAAGCACAAAGGTTCTACTGCATAAAAAATAAGAGACTAGCTTGTGCAAAAGCACTGAATTGCACCAAGAACATATTGGTGGAGTGGTATAGCACAATGGAAAGTCACCTGGACAGTGCTTGGAGTTACATTTTGCATTACACTGACTCAACTCCTTGCTGAACTGACTCATGCAAGGTCCTACAGAGATGGTCTCATGATCGGGACCTCTTTGAAATGAGGAAAAGCCTCCAGATATCTAAGACTAGAAAAAATATTGAGGTGCTTCCAGTAGGAATTTATGTAGAGACCATATTGATCTGAAAAAATGAAGAGGAGGGGTTCAAAAAGATTTTTCACTCTTGCTGATGACACAGAAATCCATAAATGCAGCTTTTCCATATGACAAAGTGATATGCAATATTCACTGTGGTTTCACACAGTTGGGTCAATAAACTTCCATTAACTATGGACAACTGTCAAAGTGACCCGCTGCCCTCATTTCTGCAGCATAACTTGGCCTTAGCTGTCCATATTAATATGAATTTTAACTCTTTGGTTTGGCATTTTAATTCTTCATCCATTAGTCTCACATTTCTGTATTATCAGTTAGCACTATTGATTTTAAAGAATACATACAATCAATTTGCTCGTATGTATTTGCAAAGGTCAGGAGAGGACACAAATGTGATTTCTGCAAGAGGTCCAGACGTTGCTTCCTGATGATTTTTATTATCTCTCCTTCTGGCCAAGATTATTTTTACAACTGAAAATAGTATTTATCATAACTGAAGGATCACTAGATGTCCTTGCAGTCTGAATTTTCAAGGGTTCATTTGTGGGGATTTTTTACAAGATGTGTCTAAACAGAGGCAGTGCAAGCCCAGAAATATCTTTCTCCAGACTGAGCTTCTCCTGGTGTGACTGCCAGACATCTCAGATGCCCATGCTTTATTGGAACACAGAACACTGAATTGGCACAGAGAAACAAGTGGAAGCAAAGCAACAGTCTGATTCTCAGACCTCACAGACCTGCAGATACTTTACGTTTAAAGATACAAATACAACAAAAACAAAAATTGAAGCTTTCGCACGACTGAGGTAAATCCTACCCACCCTTTTTTTTTTTTTTTTTTTTTTTTTTAATTAGATAGGAACCAGGATTCCTATGTAGAGGTGGATGCTACATTTGACTGAAATGCCAAAGTCTGTAGTTGCACTGTGCCCAGAAGGGAGGCTTCAAAGCCTGATTCTCTGGCTGTTAAGAAATCTTCAGCCTGCTTTTCCTTGGTTTTTTTACCCTTTCCATGGTATTGTTTATGGTTCCTGGTATACAACTTTTCTGTTTAAGATCTTACTAATGGGTAGAGAAGAAATTTCTCCCCATATTTAATATCTCAGCTCCTAGAGACCTCTGCCAGTCAGAGGGAGCATATGGTGTTAACATTTTTTGTGGTGTTACCTGGGACAGTTTTGCTACTCGGAAACTCCAGAGAAATCTCCCTAAGGAATGCCTACTACTAGTTTTTTCCTCTTAATTTTTTCAATGTCCATTTCCTCCTTGTTTTAGAGTTTCTGTTTGTACTGCACCAGGACACACAGTACCACAGTCATTAGCAGTGGCACATTATTTACAGATGTGAGGGACTTGCCTGGAGATCAGCCACTCAAGGAGAAGTGACTTTATGCTCCCTGGTCCTCTAACCTACCTGAGCACCCTCTATCCATGGACCAGCTTCATCTGCAGGTTAGACAGAGAAATGTTTCCTTCAATTTTCTTCAGTTCCATCCCCATTCCCTTTAAAAGGAGCAGGAAGCTGTCACTGAGTGCAAGATCGGTCTTCTCTGGATCTGTTGATGTTTCAGTGTTCTGCTGATTATGAGAGTGCTGAAGTCCACTAGCACTTAGTGGCACAATGCCACAAGATCATGAATTTCTGAAGTGCCCAAGGAACAAAACAAAAGTGCCTTTGCTCCATTCATAAATAATCTGCACCAGACTACAAGAGAAACAAAGTAGATAGAGCTGTTCTCCTCCTCTGTGTCTGCTTGAAAACCTAATAGTTTGTTCTCAGAAACAAAAAAAAATTTAATTTCACCAGATTTCAGAACATGAGTGGCACAGCAGCATTCCAAATAATGCTGGAATTTCATTTCTTATCAGGAATCTACAATGTTTCTGTGTCTCTGTTGGAGTTTCTACCACAAACACATCTCACTTGGCTATATTGTGATCTTTACAGTATGGATTTATCTGGCACCCGACATTTCTTGCAATAAAATAGCAACTGTGTCTTCTCCATACAGGGAATAGAATTTTTACTTAAATGGAAAATGAAATTCATTGTACTTCAGAAAGTATAAGGGCCAGATTATACACTGCAGGGAGAGTGAGAACCTCAGTGAAACTAAATCAATTTACACACAGTAGCAACTCATGCCAAAACTTCAAAGTAAAAAGAAGCCCAACTTGCTTTTCTGTGAGTAGCCCTTTTATAGGCTTTTGTAAGATAAAGGTTGGACAGGAGAAACAGAATAAACACACAGCATCATTCTGGGACCGATCTTAAAAACACTTTTTCATGGGCCTAGATTTCCACACATGAGTTTCACACCCTCTGAGGTCTCCTGAGCTATTGGTATGCATAAGTTAAGCTCATAGAGATGTATTTGCAAGAAGAACCAGTTTCTCAAGAACAAATCATCTTTTCTGCATCAGTAGGAAAGCGACTGATAGCCCTCCAGTGTGCTTTAGATTTCATACTCCGTTTGTAACAAGAGCTTCATAACACTCCCCATTACAACACAACAACAACACAATCATTTAGTTCTGCAATCTGAGAGGGACAATGGCTATTTCAACATTCCCAGGGGGGGTTCGAATGACTTATTGATCAATTGATTAATAAATGTCAGCAGTCAGAGGAGAGAGCAGTTCTGCTGAAAAAAATAGCTGTCAGAAGAGCCCCTAAGTGCATGAGCTATTAAGAGTGAAAAAATTATTCTGACAGAAAAATAGGGCAGTGATTGTTTTACATTAAATGTGAGAGAATGCACAAGATGTGTTTCCAAAACTTGTCAGATATAATAATGAGAAATAGAAACTTCATTTTTGGAAGAGAGATGGTTATGCACATATTTTGATAAACCACATATGAAAGTTTGGAATTGATTAACTTTTCATAAAATAGCTGCTTTGAGTTATCTACTGAAAGTTAGCAACTGGGGTTCTAATCACGCTTAAGAATCATTGTGTTTCTAATGAATAAGGCTGAATACCTTTTCTAATTAATTTTTCATTATTATTTTTGACACAGGTAAGGGTATATCTAGTCTGTGTGTTTTTCTGTGTTTGAATGTCAGTACTTTCTGCTAGAGATTTCATTGAAATGAAGTTGTAATGTGGAACATGCATTCCTGAAATACTCACTTCTCTTTTTTATTAGTTTTCATTTTCAGATAAGATTCATCTGACAGGAGGCACTCACATGTCCTGGAAGGGTTGTCTTTCTAGCAGTATTGCAGTAAGGGTATAAATAGGGGCTGGGAGGCAGATGGTTATCTATATGAAAAATCCTTACTCACCTGAGCTGCTTAACT